GTATTTTTCAATGAAAAGCAGAGTCAGGTGACTGCCACAGCAGCCCCTGGCCACTTCACAGCCCGGCTGGGTGCTCCAGCTGCGCAAACACGCTGGGGGAGCCTTGCTGAGGGGCTGCCAGCTGGCCCGGGGGCAGCTCCCAGCTCTGCTGCAGCATCTCCCTGTCCCCTCACTCCTGCACTGCCATATGTGGCCGCCAGATGAAGGATGGTCTCAAAGTTGAGTTAAGGTAACCTGACTTCCCAGATGGGAGACAAGGCAGGTAAAGCAAGGGGCCTCTGCAGGAGAATCGCGGGCCCTTTCTAGGAAAAACAGGATTTGGGTACCTCGGCTTCTGGCATGCCCGGCCATGTGAGATCATCCTTCTGTACACTCAGTGGAGAGAATCTCAGCCAAGGTTACCTCTTGCTCTTGGATATGGCAACTCTCAGTGAACCCAGTGGCTCAAAGAGGAAGGACTAGCAGAAGTCCTACGTAGGACTGGTCAGGAGGGTACACTGCATCCGGCTTTGCACTAAATTCTGCACTAAGCCATGCTGTTCCAGGACTTCTCTCACCCTGCTTTACGGACAAGATTCAAACCTTTGCATCCATGCACAGATTCATGTCTGGATGAGACAGGACGCCTACTAAACCTTACCCTCTTCATCCTTTCTTTAGCTCTATTTTGCTATCTTCACAGACTCAATATAGATAAAAATATTTTCAAATTTAAAACATTTTCCAGGTATTTGGAGAGTTTTAGAGTTGCACTAGCATGAAAAGCTATATTAGAACATAATACATAAAACACTACATTCATACATGTTATAGAGCTAGAAATAGAGATCACATGATTACTATTACATTTTACTTCAATAAACATACAAGAAAGATTTCAAGTACTGCTATGCTAAACAATTTCAAACAGTAGCTAGTTTCATAAAGGTATGATATACATAAAACGATACATTTTATAAATAAAATTATGTATCTGTGTTTATGCTTATATAGATATATATTATTAAATATACTAAATCATGAATTAGTCTTTTAAATAAATAGACATACAATACATTAAACATTATCAGTAATGGTCTACTATTACTATCAAAGTTCAGAGGCTTGTTGTCAACGGATTTTGGGTTCGCTAACACAACCAGCACACATTCCTCAAGTGACCTCTGTCTCTGCTCTCTTATTTACTTACACCTTGCTTCTCATGAAGAGAGATGCAACAACCCACATCTGAATTTCATCTTCAAGAAATGACAAGTGCCTCCCTTTCCCAAACCATATCCTTCCTCAGGACACCGAAATCCAATGTCCAAGCAAAGGGCCGTTCTCTGAACTTTGCTCAATGCGACCTCGTAAGTTCTATTTCTCCAAGTACTGTTGTAAGAATCTCAATCACACTTGTGGAAGATCACCACTGAGAAAGAATGGTGTAAAATACAGCGGTAAACATGTTTTATAACATCAAGCAGTGTTTTAGAGAGTGGAGAAATACTTCAATTAAAAGGGGACATCCTGGAATCAAACTTAGTTTTTGGAACATTTGGAAGAGTTACCCCAAACACTTCTTAGAAGCAGAGCAACTACAACCTGCCTTCTTTAATATGGAGAAGACCATCGCTTTTGTTTTTTCTCTCATCAGATAGATGATAGAAAGATAGATTATAAGATCTCCTGATCTTATTCTCTAGTATCAGATAGTATCTTCCAGATTTGATGTTCTGCCTCTGTTCAGCTAGGTAGTCTGCAAAGAAATGCAGTACAGGATAACAAAATCCCAGAGTACACCACAAGATCACCTCCTTCCCTTCTCCATCACTACCTCAATTTCATGGCCGTCCACTTGCCATTCTACCTTACTATTCTACCTGTTTCCTATGACTCCAAGAATACCAGGACTTACTGATTTAACAGTTCATTAACAGACTGTTGGCTTGTTTGTTCGCGTGTTGATTGTTTTTTAATGGAAAAACATTTGACAAGTAATCACACTTTACCACTGCTATTTATATCTCCTCCATTTCATGCTGGAAAGAATAAATATGCAAAATTAAAAATCAAATAAATGTCTTCAATATTGCCAATAATTTTTAAAAATATATCTTCAAATACTCATTACTTTCTGCATTTCACACACCTGGTTAGTTTAACATACATCTGAGTATATTCCACTCTACCAGGAAAATGTCAAATCCATGCATACAATACAGGAGGAAGCTACCCAACATTTGTGAATTATGTGCACACCCTGAGTGCTAATTGAAATGTCATTGTCGTATCCATTAATCCCAAAACGTCAAAGAAGAAAGCTGGAGGAGGGTGATGAGCAAGAACATAAATCACAGGCATCACAGTGATGCCTGGAATGTGCCTGTGATGGACCTTATGAATGAAACTGCAACAGCAAAGCAATCTCTAGGCAAAATCTTGTGCCAACCCCTTACTCCACAGATTGTAAGATGTTATTTTTTGTAACATATCATGGTGACAAGCTTCCATAATTACATTCAAACTCCTCAAAGGGTTTCTGTGCAAAACCAAATTTTTTCTAAAATGCTTTAAAAGCTTTGTAGAAAGAAAATAACTTAGTTTGTGATATCTGCAGTTGCACAGCCCATGCTATAGGTTATGTATTGGTCAAAAGAATGCAGTTTTCAGTCTTTACTAAGTTACTACATTTTCTGAAACTTCCTCACTTTGGCCCAAGGTCCCCATGCACTGCCCGCGCTAAATTATCTTTTTATTTCAGTTTCTCCCCCCAAAAAATCCCTTTAGCCAATTTTGAGATATGACAAAATGAAAAAAAAAACATACTTCCTCCTTCCATAGTTTTTATTCAGTCTTTGAAAGAACAAGCAAAAATTGGAACATTTCCCACAAGTGCAAGAATAAATATATCGTGGAGGATTTAAACTGACACATATTTGAAGGATAATGCTTAGCTAGCATTATTATGGCAAATAATAATGGGAATTAGCTTAGAGGTGGAAAAAGGAACATTTAATTATTCTCCCTCAAAAATAAAATAAAAACAAAATCTATACTGCACAAGAATGCCAGGTTAAACATCCTGCACTTGTCCTGTGCAAACTGCTATTTCTGTAGTCATGTATATTTGCCCTGGAAAACACATGAGGATAACACCCTGTAAACAGCATGTGGTGTGAGAGCAATGCTGATGCTGGACTAACTGGTAGCCCCATCACCAGTTAATAGGGTCTCAGCTTTTAGCTATTGTTCCTCTGGCATTGGACTCGGTATCTACACACTCCACTGCTGCATATGGTGCTGTAGACTTCATTTAGAGAATGATTTTGACTGAGCTAAAAATAACAAAACATGTTTTCTTACACAAGGTTATTTTTTTCTCTCAAAATAATGAAATATTATCATGTTCGATTAAAGTAAACTCTACTAAGGTCTCTCCTTTGGTTGACCTTTCTGGTGTACAGCAGCTAAGGATGGTAGAAAGACTGATAACAGAAACTACAATGGTAAGAAATAGGGCATAGCAGGAGAAGGGAAAGGTCTGAAAAGACCCCAGACACCAGAAAACAGCTGGACTTTCTAGGACTTCCCATTACTTTGCTGTGAGAATAGGGTTTGTGAAAGTCACCTGCAAAGCATGCATTTTATCCCCTCTATTGCTAGAAATCCCTCAGTGACAGTGAATTGCTTAATCTATAGAGAGCAGTGAGGTACAGTGTTCTGCAGAAATAATATTTCAGATCTTAGAAGCAGAACAATACAGTACTGGGGAAGCTTTCTTGCTGTCTGTCATGCCCTTTGTTCAAAAAGCAGATGACTGTGTAGCGGATGTCGATTCAGGTTGTCTAGATGACTGATTCTGCTGTCAATATAATGAACATTATGGCATTTCCATTTTTAGAGCTAGGATCTTTTTTAAATCTAGGAAATCACACAAATTCACACGCACACATCGCTACCCACCTACTTGAACACTACTAAAGTGCAATATCGAGTATGCTAAATGTAGAAAATATGGTCTGTGCACCTCTATCTGGCCAGCACGTGCAATCACATCATGAAACATACTGTAATGTCAGGATCATAGACATTTTTTCAAATAGACCCTGACAATCCTGTCAGTTCATTCCATGCACTGAAAGGACTTAAGGCTTTATAATGAAGGACTGTCAGAAAGACGCCTGCTTTACCTGTTACTGAATGTAGATGGAATGTAACAAATAGGGCAGAAGAAGGAAAGATATGCCTATGAGTGAAACAGTAAAATACGCCCCTTAACTCTATCCCTGGTCTCCCACAAGGATCCTTAGTGATGCTAACCAAATTGCTTAAAACCAAACTTCCATGGGTGCTTGCTTAATGGGTAGTCCATTTTTTTCTATGTCTTAAAACCTTAGGATATGACTAGCAGAACTGTCATATTTTACAGCAGTCACCAAAACCAGTGAAATCTGTGGTCAAATACATTAAAGGAAAGATGCTTAGAAAAAGCGGAGTATAAGAATCTAAAAATATGCATTAAAAAAACCCTAGTAAGTTTTTTCTCTGTACCTCAGTCATCAAGTATAAAAACAAGCATAAAACCTAGTCATATCACAGCAATGTTACAAAAGCAACTTCCTTAATACAGATTGAGAGCTCATTCTACAGTGGGGAGTTTCATATAAAACACATGAGGAAATTAATTTTGCCTTCAGTGCTGGACTCAATCAGTTTTGGGGAAATTTTATACTAGACTATCATCTTTTTACTGGAAATAATGATTATGTAGTCTTTAGCAGTAAAAACAGATGTACATTGCAATCAGACACGTAAGTTAAAAAAAAAGTTTCATCAAAAACTTTCCCAGAAGTGTTAAAATACTTAGTCATATATACTTCTGCAGTAAGTGTAATAAAATTATATAAAAAAGAAAAATGTTTAGTAATTATGGAAAACGATCACCATACAGCTTACATTAAAGAATTTTTTGCAATGTTAAGACACATACAGATAGGAATACCGGAACATCTACTCACATTCACACTGTATCACATCTAAATTAAACTGCTGAATTGCTCCCATGCTTATTTGTTTTAATTCACTGTCCAGTAGCATCTGCATTAGGGATGTTGAAAGATGCTGGCAGGCTGACATGCAAGCTGTCTGGGCCACTTTTCCCTAATAGAAAGATCAACAAATTTTAGGATAGAAGCAAATGATATGCCACTAAAGAACAGCTTATCTGATGTGATTTTATTATACACTCAAAGTCTTAATAATGCAGCACTTGGAAGAAGAATGGTCAGACTTCCTGTTATTTCTTTGACCTGTTAGCTTTGACTCTATTACATCAACCAGGGAGTTGAAATTAAATATATATTAATATAATTACTGCTATTTCTTCCAGATTTACAACCAATGATCTTCAAGAACACAAATACACTTCCAAATACGAGAGCGCATAATGACAATATAAGTTGCTGAAGCATGTGAACAGCTTTGTGGATTTCTTCTACCAGAACAGAATGAAAGCAAGAATGGAAATCAACATGCTGCATACGTTTAACAACAGTCAGTGAAAAGAAAAACTTTATATAAACTAAAACCATTGCTTTCAGTTAGGACATTTCTTATAACAGCTTGTGCTAACTACTGACACCTTAATTGTTAGAATTGCACCTCAAAGCTTGTTGCTAAATTATTTAAAAATATTCATGCTTATCCTGTGTCTTTTCAGGTGCTGAATAAGTCAATGCAATCAGACATCAACTACTTACAAAATGAAATGCAGCCCTCTGCTGTACAAAATAGATATAATTTTCCTATTACAACCTAGTTATTAACATTCCTCTTCACAATGTATATAATTGAAACAAACAATTTTCCAAAACAGAGAGATCAATAAAACAAAGGATGACATCAGATATTAATTTGCTAAATTATTAAAATGCAATATAGAAGATGAAAACAAATGGAAATACTACCATATAAGACAAACCAATGAAGACCAGATACCTGATTAGGTGGCAACATTCTATTCATGCTTGGGTTTTAAGTGCAATTATATGATTCTCTGTCTCCTTAGTCACCATGCTTTTCAACACAGCTCTATGTTACAATATACATTGATACACAGGCAATTATTAATATACTTATATGAAAGAAATCATAATTATGTAATAGACCAACTGGGGCACAAACCACTATCATTTCACTTGTATGCATTAGTAAAGTGATGCAGCCTAGTCTCTAAAGCAATGGTTCCCCAACTGCTTTCTGCAAAGTCAGGATGAACAATGACTCACAGAAACACGGATAAGCAACGGTTTCAAATAAGAGTTTCATGATAAGGATGTGTACAGACTGGTGAAAAATGGTAAGGATTGACAGTGGTTCACGGTTCCAAAATGTTAGAAAGTTCTGGTCTAAAACCGAAAGGACCAGATCTTGCCCTTAATAAGATAACATGTTTGTGTTACTGAATTTTGATGGCTTTTGATAGCCCAAAGCAAATTTGGCCCTAAATAGTTTGTCCTTTTAAAATCCATTTATTGTTATAATATACTTCATTAAAATGTAGGCAATGTAATGTAAAATGTTCGTTCTCTTCACGTGTCAAAGTGAAACAGTAAATGATCTTTGCTAATACCTCTTTAGCATTAAGACACTTTGAGCTATAAGCAGCTTCATATCTAAAATGAGATGTCAGTTTCTTAATTGAAAATCTCAGGAAAGCAAATAACATTTTTGACCAAAATAAATGAACTGACAACAAGGAATGTAAGAAACAAAGCAAGAACAGCATGCTTAGAAGTCTCCCAAACCCAGCGGTAATTGCACTGGGAGACACGCAGCTCTATTCCCCAAGCAGAACAATATCAACATGAAGGGGAAAAAAAGGGGAAAAAAAACAGAAAAAAAGGGGGCGAGGGGGGGAATCAATGGGCCACAGTTCATTTAATTACAATGTAGTAGGTTTGAAATACTTAATGGAAATGTCATTTTGATTTAATGGAACAACTAGTGCATTTCAGTTTAATGTACTGCTCCATCAAATCAGCTCCATGTCCTATTTATGCTGCCACTATAATGTAATAAAAGTTCAAGCAGATTAATAGGTTGTCAAAAAAAATTTTAACATTCAATTTATTTTATATGCAAACAAAGTGTACTCCACTATTATTATAACTAAAAGACAGAACTCTGTCTTTATGGCAAGTATTTGCAGTTAATTGTTACAATCTGGCAAATATCAATAGTACTGGAGCACAAGACAATGGTTACAATACAGAAACGACATGGGAAAAGTCACCTGGACTTTAAATAAGTATCAATATTTGTACATGTAATGCTTATTTAAAAATCTCATTAAATGGAGACATCCCAATTTTTTTTAAACTATTTCCAACTATGCAACTTGAACTACAGGCTTATTGTTCACTTGGCACATCAAGAAATAATACAAGGTTACTATACATAGTTTATACTTACTCAGTAAGATCATTCGATTTTTGTAAAACTAGAGAAAAAAATTAAGCTGAAATCTATGAAGTATATCAGTAAAAAAGCTGGATTTTAACTTAGAGAAATGTGAACTTTACTGTTATCCTCCTCAAAACTGAGTGTTTCCAAGTTCAAAACACGTTGGATGTACAACATTTAGAAAAGAATGAAGAAAAAATATTTCTTTGAAATCACAGAACGTCATTTCAAATTAATGTTTGACAAATGAGTTCTAGTTAAAATATCTCTTCAAACTTCTATCATCTACCAATTAATCACTTATTTGCTGTTTTTTCATAATGCATTTTAAAGAGGAAATGTAAAGATTTGTGAAAATAATGATAATGTGATGTCTCTTCCAGAATGAAACAAATTTCAGTTAGTTTTAAATAGTCTTAATATTTAGCATTTGTCAGCTTTTTTTTTTTTTTTATTTTAAAGGGGTGGCAGCGGTTACTCTATCTAGCAATTAAATACCAATATTCAGTAGCATGCAGAGATTCAGCAGTCTTCTCGCATTCATTCCAGTATTGCCTCCCGCTTGGAGACACTACTATTATCTCCACTGTGCCTAAGTTAATTGCTGCTGTCTACAAAACCTTTTCTTCCTCTCAACCCATGTAAAGTTTAGGAAACAAGAACCCTATTCTATAAGCAAAAACACCTGCTAACAGTGTTAAAGGCAACTATTTTTTTACCCAGCCACCACATTTTGCTGAAATACAAGTTTGTAAGAAGAGAAAACCCTTAGACAAACTTCTTATATTTCAAAGGAGCTTGTAGAGAGAATCTGCTGACATATTAAATCCTTTTTTATAGGACCCAAAAGCTTTTCTCCTAAGAACAATTGCAGTAAAGAGACATTTGGCTCCTAAGAAATTCCCAGAGGGTCAGCCATATGCATCCTTCCATGGCACCTTCACGGTCCTGCTTTCTAAGACCCATGCTAGCTGTCTCAAAAGCAGCTTTCATCATTCACTGTGGTGTCAGTCAATATGATTTATGGACTGCATTCAACAAAGTCAAAGCATATAGAATGAGAAATATGACTACAATCTGCTAATTTGTTTTGTATTGAGCCACTTAAGAGTCAAAGACCTGATGTCAGGCTGAGACCAGCAACACAATTAACTGGCCAGTGACAGATTCATCCATCCTCCCTGCCAGGCTGTGCCAATCAAAGACAGCATGAAGCGGCATTTGGAGAAATCACTAAGAAAACCCATTCTTTAAGTAGCCTGTGGAGGCTTCTGATTGACAGTTTTTGAATATAGCTGCAGAAAACCCTCCTTCACCCTCACTGCAAGCTGTGAAATTAGGCTTTTACTGCCAATCACAGAAACAATAAAATAACACAAACTGCCATCCTCAGCATAAAAGGAAATAACTAAACTTACCTATTACATCTAAGAAGTTAAGCTTAAGAATTAATTTAACAGCATGAAGTGACAGAAACAATAAAAAACTTCCTGCAAGGAAACTAAACATACAGATTTCATCAGTCATTATAAGTAAAATATAATTTTTGCTTAACATCAGGACTAAAATTCAAATTTCGAATCACTGATAAAAAAACAGGTATACTAAAAAACACTCATGGAATTTTTAAAAGATTTAATTTTACTTCCACTTCTATAATTCTGCCCCAAATTCCTAAGGGCTACTGAAAACAATCAAAAATACCTACTTGAAAGTAATTTGTAATTCTTCTTTCAATAGTCACTCTTTTCCAAAGAGGTATCCAATCCTAACTTAGTACTCATAAAGCACATATGTTGCATCTAGAATAAAAGTTCAGCTATTTCTAAACTTAGATAGAAAATCCTTACGTGTGTACCTTATACATATTACCCTTATATCCTCTATAATCCTGATCTAATAATAACTTTTCTGAACATAAGCTATGATTTCTCTTTAATTGTTCCAAATAAAAACTCAGAAATTGTCCTTAGTAACAAATTTGGTCATCCAACTGATTTCTTCAGACAAATGGCTGGAGAATGAAATTTTATTTTATTTTTTTTTTTGGTTAGAAGTATCTAATGCCATTTTAAGCTGCAATATGAAGTTAATATGCGATGCTTATGTCAAAGAACCTGAAAATAGCAATAAAGTCAAAAGCTTATATTCTAGTGATTTCACAAAACAGAACCATTAAAAGCTGCATGACTCACAAACAATAATCCTCTTAAAGCGATGCATCCTCTGTGCTCTGCTTCTCTGGACTTTGAGGACGGCTTGGTCATGACATAGCCTGCCTACTGGCACCTACTCAACATTAACACAAAATATCTCTACGCAAAATACTCAATATTCCTAGTGCTCATGCCACCCTTTATCTCCATAGTTTAACATAAGGCTGAGCATTCAGTCCACAGAAATCATAGAAACGTAGGTTGGCGAACCCCTAATGTCTTCTACTCCAGCCTCTTAGTTGGAGCAGGACTATTGCCAACACTACTAGTTCAGGTCTGCCACGCTTTTTTTCGGCTGAACCTTAAATACAATCAAGGTTGGAAATCTCCCATCCTCTCAGGTAACCTGTTTCAACACTGTACTTCTCCCCTAGTGCAGAATTTTTTTCCTAATATCAAAGTGGTACCTCCCAAGCTTCTAGTTGTTACCACAGCCCCTTCTCAAACCATCCACCATACCAAGACGAGTCCATCATCTTC